TAAATTATTTACATGATCTATTATTTATACGGCAGAATTTATTTTTATGAAGACGGTCGAATTCACCGTGAGAATACAGAGTTTATTACTTTATGAAAGAAGAGAAAAGAAAGATCATGAAATTTTGTTTTTCCCCTCTAACCTCCAAGTTTAGTTTGAGTTTTTTTTAGTTCAGACATTCGTTTTATAGAGGTCACACAAAGTGACCTCCTGATGTTTACTGTCAGACGTTCAATATGACTTTAAAAAGTGATCACTTATATTGATTTTTGCCTCCAGTCAAAAAATGAGATTTTCACAAGAAATAGAAAATCTCGAATATTAGAGCTGCTGCAACCCTAATGAAATACAAAAGCTTCAATCCTTTTGATGATGGAAACGTGCACACCGGTTATAAACCCAGACTAATTAGCTCGATCGACCACTCTTGCTAACTGAACTGTGGGAAGATTTAATTTCTATAATCAGAAAGTTTAAATAAAGATGAGGAATAACACCTTTCATTTGACATAGTGTGACTGCTTACGGACCCACAAATGCTTGAGCTGGCCCTGTGGCCATCATTAAGTCCTGAGTTTTGCAAATTTGTGGGGTTTTTTGTGACAAACCAAGAGAGATAACAAACCTTCTAGACGTTTCAATTTCCTTCCTGATATTTGTCTTCTTTACCGGGAACGTTTTTGGAGAAATGCATAAATGCTGAAAGTTTCGGAGACTTTACTAAGTGTTTAAAACACAGAAAATGAGAGCTGGTGGGCGGCAGAGGGAGCCTGAAGGGTGAGCAGTTTGAAACAAATAAAAGGCAGCAAGATAAAAAACACAGGCGCTATTAAAAAAATAAACAAGCGTGGTGAGGAGAATGAGAAAAGACAGCGGGACAAAGGAGGAGGGAGGTGATCTCTTTTTGTCCGACTGAACCAAAGGAACACTCCGCCATGTTCCACATTTACCCAATACCAGCGTTCCCTTGTGATAGCTGGACAGCGATGTTAATACCTCATTAAAAGAATGAAGCAAGGCAGTAAGTCATCTCCCAAGTATTTTTTGAAATGGAAAGCCATAGAACGCCTCGGCAAAGGCAGCGCCTTCTTTAATTAAACCCCCACATATGGACACCTTGGCTCCTTCCCAGAGAGAGAAGATAGGTGCAGGGAGAGAAACGATAGCTGTGTGAACAAAAGAGAACTCTGCAGTCAGATGGTTGATCTGTATGGCAAAGACCAAAGTCTGATTTATAATTCCATTTTTGGTTCTTTTAAAAACACAGGAAAGGTTTTTGAATTACCTTGCTGACGCACGTTTCGTTTGCCGACTGCAAAACATCCTCAGAGCTCCCGCGTCAGCTCTGACCCCGGCTTTCCACAGGAACCGTCAGCAGCACGTTACTGCAGCAGCACGTCATAGCTGCTGATAGGAACCGCTGTGGTCAACAGAACCTTTTCCACCGGAGCCGTCAGCAGCGCGAGTCGGCCGCGTCTCAGGAGCAGCATGTCGCGGCCTTTACGCGCCGGTTCTATTTTCTACGCGCGACGCCTCTGAAACGGGTCAAGTTCGACATTTTTGGGGAAGGAAAGACAGGAAATTGGACGCGGAAATGGAGAAGCTCTCGAGATTTTCAGAATAAAGAACGTACTGCCTTCCGGTTGCTTTACTTTTAAAAAAGGTTACTAACTGTGCAGCCCCGTGAGAAGTTATCACCTAGCTAGCGGTCTCCTTTGTTTTTCAGGTCCGTATTGGCGATTATAAAACGGACAGAACATGAAACACAAACCATGTTGTAATTTTCTCCTGCTTGTTGTTGTGTTTACTGACGAAGTCACTCGTGTGACTTCGTGCTCTGTCGGTGACAGCTGCTCCCCTGCTGCTTCGCGTCTCGTGGGAAGGGCCAAGCAGCAGCTAGACGTGCTGCTGCAGTAACGTGCTGCTGACGGCTCCCGTGGAAACCCGGGGTCAGGATGTTTTGCAGTCGGCAAACGAAACGTGCGTCAGCAAGGTAAAGAAAAACCTTTCCTGTGTTTTTAAAAGAACCAAAATTGGAATTATAAACTAAGAACACACCAAAGAAGTCTGGTTTATGTTGTATCTTAAATAAGTAATAATTTTACAGTAAAATAATCATTCAAATGTCTTAATCATGTTGGAAGGAAAGTTTCATTGAAACAAATATCTTTCTCAGCCAGTTGGGGGGTTGTCTTTTTTTTTTTTTTAAAGGTAACGTAGGGACGTACTTGTTCAATTACCACCAACTCACGTGAGCAACACGTTTTATTTCCTTTAATGAGCCGTTCAGAACTATAACAGCAAACTAATAGCCAGACGGCAAACCACACTGACATCACAAACGTAGACAGCCTGTGGACTGGCGAGGCCTATTAGAGTTGCTGTAGTGGGCGGCCACCATCTTGGATGGGTCTCCATTTGCCCCAGCGCATTTACATCCACTGAGGAATGTGTTTACCCAACTAGAAAATGCATTTTATTATGCTTTTTCACAAAATGAGACATATGGTATGGCATGATAGTTGAAATACAAACATAATTAAATAAATGTAATTCCAATAGAAAATCCCAACAGGTAGGCTGGAAAAGTCAATAGTAAGTCCACATGATCTTTTTTCTAATATGTGCCAGTTGTTTCATCCATAGGCTGCACAAAAACGTGCATAGTTGCCCACCCTGCGTTGACTCCATTTGGGTTTAGAGAGTGAGGAACCCATCCAATATGGCGGCGACACTATTACACTCTCTAGTGCCCAATAGGGCGTATGTATTCAGGTCTATGAGACAAACAACCATACTTCCTGTATTGCCTGACATATTACAGTAACATCACTTCCATTTAGTTGGAGACAAACTACCGTAATAAGAGCAGTAAGTGCTCCATACCATAAAACACCCAAGAGTGCTAACATCAGATAGGACAATACATTTATCTACTTATCAACTTGCTTTGTCTGACTCGTCTTTGCTCGTCATCTAGAACCTTCTGGCACTGATTTTTAACTGGCAACCTTTGCTCAAAGTGGATTTGTGTGTTTTGATAGGCTGCAGTACCCAAATCTGACCACAGGATGTCATTCTTATTTCATGCACCTTTAAGCTAAAGCAGCGTTTCCCAACCCTGGTCCTCAGGGACCACTGCCCTGGATGTTTTCCAGGTTGCCCTTTTAAACACAAGTGTTTCCCTGCTGCCACACACCTGACTTAAATCAATGAGTGATTAACAGGCATCTGCAGCACTTGACGCCCTCCTGAAGAGCCAATGTACATCAGGTGTGCTGATGCAGAGGCATGGGAATCATGCAGGTCAGTGTGCCCTGAGGAGCAGGGTTTGGAAACACTGAGGCCTAGTCCACACGTAGCTGTTTTTTTTTTAAACGAATATCCGCCCCGCCAAAAACTTGCATCCACACCACCTCGTTTAAAAACAAACTCTGTCCACATGTACCTGGATAAATACGTTGTTAAGGACATGCCAGACCTGTAGGCGGCAGTACTTCCCCCGTTCTTAACCTCGTCCTTCGTCTGTGGTCTTCCGCAAGGAGCAGTAATTCCGCTTGCAAAAACAAACAAGCAGAAAGCGCTTGGACAACTGATAAAGCGAGCGCAGCTCTGAGGGCTTCCATGATGCCGGCTAGTGTAAACACAGGTCGCACACGTGATGTCAGCATTTTTTTGTCGCGGAAAGTGACGTTGCGGACCTTAAAACTCCGGTTTTGTCTGTCCACACGCAGACACCCGAAACAGAGAAAATGCAGATCTTCACTTTGGCCAGAGTTTTTAAAAAGATCCGTTTTCGTGTGAAAAATCTCAGTTTTCGTGTGGATGACAGGCCAAAACGTAGAAAAATATCTACGTTTTGGCAGATCCCCGGCTACGTGTGGACAGGGCCTGAGCTAAAGAACCAACGTACACTCACAAGCCACTTAATTAGTTACATCTGTTTAATAGTTCAACACAAATTAGACTTGTTCAAATTCAAACTGAACGAGGAAGAAACGAGTGTTGTTACTAACCAAGCCCATCCCTTTTATAACCACAGTTCTTCTGATGGCTACCAGCAGGATAATGCACCATGTCACAAAGCCCAGCTCACCTCTAACTACTTACTTGAACACAAAGATGGATTCATTGGACTACAACAGCCTGCTGGTGTTGGTCAGAGGGACCTGTGGCGCCTAGCAGCCATGCCTCTGTGAGAGGGCCCCAGGGCAGCTGTGGCTACCATGTAGCTCATCATCACCACTATGAATGTGTGTGTGAATGGATAAATGACTTGATGAAGATGTTTACAAATACAGGCCATTTACCGTTTTTAGCCAACAAGCAAAGAAGTTCATCTACGGATTAATAACAGGCAAAAATCATCAGGGTTGATGTTTGTTGTCAAGATATTTTTCATCCAATTTTACGACCTGCTTCTGCCCGTTTTTACTCTCAACATGGTAGAATTAGTAAAACTCTCCTTCCTCTTTTGTTATAGCTTTTTAAGTAAGTCTTGTGTTACATTTTCAGGTAGTGCTTCAGGTTGCCACCCCATCCAGGGCTCTCTCATCCTCTGATGCAGAAGCCAAGCCGTGGTCACAGTCTGATGCTGCATCACGTTGTTTGTCTATTAGAGCTCTCAACATTTCAGGATCTTGTTGAGACGCACAAAGAAGCAGCTGCCTTTAATGTGATAATCTGACCCGAGTTTACCCAGCCCAAACAAACCCAGCTGTATCTATTTCTAGGATGCTCCTAAAAATAGTTGCTGGATGATTAAACGTTCTGTTCTTGTGATGCATTTGACTGTTCTCAAAGATTGAAGCAAAAAGATTTGTGACCTTAGCTATTTTGTAAAGAGCTGACTTTCGTGTTGTTTTTGTTTGTGAACATTAAATATGGAATCATTGGTCATGTGTCAAAATTGCTTGAAAGGGACACAAAAACATATCACACATGCATAAAGTGAGAGAGAGTGCTTTGGCTGAGCATCAGCAGATTAAACCAGCCCCTACCTGTCATTGTCGACACTCCTGAAGCCGGGGAGGATGTGTCTGAAGCTGGAGTTGCGGTCGAGTTTGGGTTGACTCTTGGTGCGTTTTATGGAGCCCTTCAGACGTCGACTCAGAAAGCCCTGATGGAGAAGGACAATCAAATCAATTCAATTCAGTTCAATTCAAAAATACTTTATTAATCCCAGAGGGAAATTAGAGTTTCAGTACACACAATTCTGAGATCAGACATACATTCATAGACACATGACAAGAATTGGTGATTGTGGTTATTCGCAACACGAGTCACGCTACCGTAATAGATCAAGAGGGTTTATATGAGGATAGAGTCGGGGGAGGGAAAAAAGGCCCTTCAGAGTTAACCTCCACAGAGAGGGCAGCTTTGCTATGCAAAAAAACACCTCAGACAGATATGCACACAGACTTCAGATGATACACAACATAAGTGTCCACTAGGTGGGGAGGTAGGGTTGGGACTCTCCTCACTTCAGTGCATGCAGCCGCATGAGCAGCGCTCATCACCTCTGTTTGGACAGGGGAGGGAGATAATGGGTTAGAGGGCACAGTGACTCCTAGATACGGTTCCACGTCCTTCACCGGTCACAGTCCCACCCAGGCTGGGATAGGGAGAAAGAGTTTCTATAGCTACGGCAACATTCCACATTTCTTCTGAGGGGGGAGTTATCAATTCAACCTTACAGGCTCAAGGGCACCAGATTCAGATAAAAATTGTTTTGGGGGCAGACAGTGATAATTTCCTCTCTGCCTTAGAGTTCTGTTGGTCTTCAACCCCTCTAGATCCAATAACGGCGTAATTAATCTATCCCAATTCGTGCTGATCCGTCCACTCGCTCCTTGATGGAATCCACCTTCTGTGCCAGAGCCTGAATCTCAGCCAATGTTCCAAGCTTACGACTCATCTCGACAATTATATGAGTTTGTTTGTTCACAGCACGATGCGTTACATCCCTGAGCTCCGGGATTGAGCCAATATTCCTCGAAAGCTCGTTAATTTTCCGGTAAGCCAGGTAACCGCTCAGGCCAAACAGCAGGAATCCCGACACCAAAACCACAAATATCCAAACATCTTCAGAATCCTCTACAGACAGTTGAGAGAGGCAGATCAGGTTCCACTGTTTCCAGGAGTCCATGATATGCCCAGCTGGCTCTGTCCCAGAGGGGCATCCGGGAGCCCCTTCTCCCGTTCTCATCGCTGAAAAAATTTAGTTAGTCGCGTTGAGAGACCAACTGACCAGATCCATTTTAATAATTTCCAGTTTCCAGAAAAAAATGCAGAAAGCACCGTGCACAGACAGGACCAGCCTTGGGATAAGGAGGGAGGGAGAGGAGAAAAAAAAGCATCTGTACTCTCCAAGAGCCGGAAGATGTTATTTAAAACCGTGTCACTGCTTGTTTGTCGGGGAAATATGAGACGTGTCAATCATTAGGATAAACTTGGCAGTAGGACTGAAAATATTAATACCAGCATCTGAAATTCAGAGTCATGGAGAGTTAAAGGTTAATAAGGGAGTGCGTCGGGATTACATAAGAGTATGAGTGATGTTAGACATGAATCGTCTATTTTTTTAGGAAGGTGGACTGTCCAACTGAACTGTTCTTTGATTTTTCATGTCCTAAACATTAAGGAGCACATGAAAGTAACCTCCAACCCAGATGGACAGGATCATCTGGAGAGAAAATAAAGCAAAAGGAGAAACTCGGATGTAAGGTATTGAAAAGCTCTTTATATCTACGTGAGATAAATTATGAGTCTCTGGATTTTGCTCTTCTTGATTTCAACTGAATATGGTCGATTGGACGCTCTTTCTGCAGCTGGCAGGTCATAGCCCTGCTTTCCACGTCCCAACAGAATTCTGCACCTCTGTTAGGACAGTTTTCTGCCAGATCGATTGATTATCTGCCTTCAGTTCCTCCTCTGGGAATCAATTTGACCTTCAGAGCTGTTCTTTCCTAAAGACTTCCAGACACAATAGTCCTCTAGATTGTAGTCTGGGCTTTGCGTTGGCCACTCAGCTTATTTATGAATGTAGAAACCACATCCTGTAAGAGTTGTAATGTTCTGGATTTTAGTGATGTTCCATCATCTTTTTGGAATATGAAGTCAAGTGCACCAAAAGGACATGTGGAGCATGTTTGGGTATATTCTCAGTCATCCAGCGCATGATAAGCTTGAAGGTTTAGTTGGAAAAAACTGAACTTGTCTAGCCTGTCCATGACCGATAGACAGAGCTCAGCCGTGGGGCGGGATCTACAACTGTCTTTTAAGCTGTTTCCGCGTTCCATTGGACAGCAAACAACAAGACGTACTCACCGCCACGGATGTCAGCCAACGGGGCAGTCTGCAATAGACTGATGAAGAAGACGCTAATTCATCCTTTTTCTAAATAAAGAGCTTTAGTGCCTCAATCTGCTCTTGACTCAAAAAAAAAAAAAAAAAAAAAATAGAAAAAGCCCAAGTCTAAATAGTCCAGCTGCCATCTTTGTTGTTCCACTCTGTCACATCATCCCGCGCACCAAACAGATAGAGCGCTGTGATTGGAACAACACAAGACTGGTTGGGCTTGCTGAGGCTCCTATAGAGCTCCGGACCCCACGTGACTCTCAGTTAGTAGACGCCATATTGGCAGGTAAAAGAAGCTAAACAAACACGGATGTAAACATGAACATGAACGGATCGGCTTGGATTTTACTTCGTCTGAATTTACTTCACACTTAAAAACCGAAGAAATTGTTTTATATAGTCAGAAATTAAATAGACTAAACATCTCCGACCCTCACTGTGCCCCTGGGAAACTTTTTAAAAACGCCAGAAGCTGTCGGAGCGGACTTCTTACCGGACCTAGCCGGGGAATCCCCGGAGGAGCTGGCTCAGGTGGCTGGGGAGAGGGAAGTCTGGGCCTCTCGACGCTACTGCCCCCGTAACCCGACTCCAGATAAGCGGATGAGAATGGATGGACAAATAACAGATTTACATGTAAGAAGTTTAAATAGAGTGCTGTGCTGTTTGAATGTATAAACTGAACGCCAAGAGAAATCACTAGTCTGATTTTTTTCCGTGAATAAAATAAATATGTCGGGCAGGAGCGTCTCAGGATCTGTCTGAGATCTGTCTCGGTGAGACAGATAATAGCAATCCAAAGTGCTTTTTAAGTGTGATCTGACAATTGATCATCCATTGCTTAAAAATGAAATACAGCTTAGCCGGTTAATTGCTGTGATCATAAAACACGTAAACGGCAGCGAAAACCTTTACTCTCGGGATCCCACAGTTTCATTTCAGCCCGGTCACTAGCGCGTTTTATTACAACGATCCAACGTTTGCGGCACTCCGGATCTTGGGGAATCCTGTAGATGGCTCATTCCTTATGTCGTCCGTGTCTGTTCTGCATCCTGGGGCACAACAGGAATCTACCATATTTCCTGTCTGATTGAGTTTTCTGACAATAACAAATAGTCCAGCTGCCGGCTTCTACCTGCCAAGATGGCGCCGTTTCGATTTGAACTGTTGCATGCTGGGAGAAGTGACGTCAACTCCCGGAGCTCTATAAAGCGTCGGTAGAGCAACATGCAGAGCAAAATCATCTTTGCTTTGACGACTGTCTGTCTAGATTTCCTTAAAGAAGTTTTGCCTCTCATCCAAGAAGCTTCTTCAATTCTGAAACTTGTGTTGGGAGTAGGAGGCTTATATCTGAAACAAACGTGCTGACAGACCAATAAGATTTGCTGATGAGACCATTGTAATTACCAATGAAGCCATTACAGAGAAACTTGTTATTTGTGAAAATGATTGGTCACTCTGATAATATGCATGCTGAAGGTGAAAATAGTCTCCTACACCTATCTCTTGCTTTAGCTTCTGATAGAATATAGGCAGTGAAACTCTAGGATCTGGACAGATCTACGCCACGCTGTCACGAACATCCATGGACTCACAACAGGGAAGGCTGTCGGCTGGTAGGAGCTAACTGTTAGCATAAGCGACTCCACCACACAGCATAGCTCCTTCAGGCTTGTGTTATTTGTGGAGACCAAACATCAACGTTGCAGAGCAAACAATGTAAGTGGTAGCCAATCAGAGGTGAGATGTCCAGATATCTTTAAGGAAGAAGAACCGTCATGGCTAATGGAGTAAAACAAATTTCATAAAACAGAGACCTAAATATAAATTGAATCCTACAAAAATGAGTAAAAATATGAAGCTGTATGCAAGAAATAACTCAGTGTTTCTGAACGAGTCCATGTAAAATTTTGGTCTTTTTCCTGCACAATAATTCAATTTTCTAAATCAATTTGAGACTAATTCTGACACTTCATGAGTTTTATCAGCCATCTTTGTTTGAGTTAGAGTATTGATTTTTTCCATTATCTGCAATCCCACTTCCGCAAGCGCCTTACTGTCTCCATGGTAACTGATGTTGGAAACTAACAGACACAAAACATATAAATTAGTAAATTGAATGGTGCAGGAATGGTGAGATTCAGAAGATGAAAACATGACTTTCACTTGGATGTTCTTTTAGATTTGACTAGAAATACAAAAATTAAATAAAGCCAGTTAGGATGGCAGCACAGAGGAAACCAATGCTCTGATCCAGTGAGAGCTGGGCTCAGGTGGAGACCGTCATTCCATTCATACACAGTACCTGTTCTATCCAAACAGCAGAACAAAATAAATCCACCGACGTCACAGACATGCTTTAACCCTCTGCTGTTCTCGCACGCCTTTCAGGTGGCCGTGGCAGGTAAATTACACACCTCCCTCCATCCCATTCAGACCATTAACACACTTGTGTAATAATTACCGCCTACGGTGTGAATGGGTCTCCTCAGGCCACAAAAGGAGCAGGGATAATTAGAAAGCGACTTCCTCACAGCTTGGCAGCTGATCACAGAGTAGCTTCAGCATCCTGGTGAACAACACCTGTCATCAGGAGGCAAACTAGCCACAAAACAAAGGCCTCCTTCATGTCTTTATACTGACATTCACTCTAAGGCCTGGTCCACACGTAGCCGTTTTTTTTTAAAACGAATATCCGCCCCTCCAAAAACTTAAAAAAAAACTCTGTCCACACGTACCCGGATAAATACGTTGTTAAGGACA